AGGATAAAGACGATGTTCACCCGAGGCAAGGCAAAGGATAAAGAAGCCGAGAAATTCTGGTAGTCTATAGAGAGAATCTTCGCCCATAGTCCTGAGATTCCAAGGGGTCTATGCTTGCGATGCTACTTGTACAGGTAACCTATAAATAGAGGTGAACGCTACCACCATTATTGTTACTTCCAACCCTACCAACACCCGACATGCTTTCTCTATCTCCCACCCGGATCCCTTTCGACCATAGATCCGTCATGTCCGACGAGCACACCTTGCCCGACAACGGCACCATGTCTGACAGTGACACCATCTCTGACGGGACCATCCCCGACAATAACATCATGTCCGACGACTCGATGTCCTTGCTGAACGATGAAATCGCCGAGCCACCCGACAGCTGGCGGTTGGGCATCATCTGGTCTCCGGATGACGCGGACTGGGACGCAGCGCGGCTGCAAGCCAACGAGTGGTGGCGGCTGCGGCGTCAGGCTCGACCCCATTTGCGCCGGATGTACATGGGCGAGGTGGTAGTCCGCGGGGGCCACGCGCGCTTCCTCTTCGGAGACACCGAGGGCGGCCAGCCGGCCCGCTACATCGAGTGCAACGGCCAGCTCGACTTCGACTTTGCGTTCCCCGAGGATCTGGAAAAGTACCAGAGGGCGGTGATCATGATGATATCCATCCTCCGGGGGGTGGACGACTCGTGGAACCTCCTCCGGGAGAAGTTGCTGGCGCTCCCATCCCGGAGGTCTTCGTTGCCTCAGCCTTTTTTTCTTTAGTCTTTGAATCTTCCCGGTTCCTTTCGGCACCGTGTGGTGATAGTGCAGGAAGGATGAAACCATAAGAAACAAAGAAAAAACATAGTAGTCGTAGCTGAATCAAGGATTATATCATCTGTAATCTTCCTTTAAGCAGTAGAATCTTCTAACATGTCCTCTACATCCAATACTCTTCTCAATTGAAAGTCCAGTAGATTGAGTGAGAGATACGATATGGAGTGCTTTATATGCAGCCAGGGGAGTGAGTCTACTTCGAGATGCGTGAGAAAAACATGCTTATCAAATTTGTCAATGCCTCAATGGATAGCTGGCTTTTTTCAGGGTACCCCTCGAAATAAACACAGAGTCAAGTCCTGAGCTTCACGGAAACATACATCATACTCTCTAGCTACCTTCAATGGACCGTGTCGAACGACAACAACGGAGGCCTGCCTGCTCCAACTATACTACCTGGCGAGTAAGGGGTCGGGAAGTGGTTGTGCCTCGCGGCTTGGGGAGGGTGGAGACGCTTCTCGAGACGGTGAGCACTTGATTATGATTACCACTTCAACGTGCCATTTTATAGACAACTTTTGTCTTGAGCGTGACCCCTAACGCTTGCCTGGAATTCAGGTGAGTGCGATAGGACGCGCCAACATAATTACAATTTCATCTTCGATAATATAAGACCTAAGCCTGAACAGGATACTCTATAGAAATACTCAGAGGCAACTGGTCTACTATTACAATATTCTCCCCTGCATGAGTACAATTAAATAAACGCTGTCATGATAATAGAGCCTTTCAACCTTCAACACTCCGTCGATAAGAATTAGGCTCATCAACATGCGACGGTGAAGGTCGCGGTAACGGTCGCATAGACAGTGGAGGTCACCACGTCCACGTCCGTCTCGGTCGCCGCGATCGCTGTACTGCTACCGAAGAGGGCAGTGGAAGTGAGGCTCTGGACTGCAGCCGAGCTGGACGGCGCACTAGCTGATGAAGCCGAGAGCTGATGAGCCGGGGTCGACAGGCTTGGCGTCACGCGAACGGATGATGAGGCGGATGACGCTTGCACGGGGAAACTGGACGATGGCCGCACCGCTGCGGATGATGGACGAACGGAGGGGATGATGGTGAATGCGCTGCTGCTGCTCTGCACGGGAACAGAGGTGAAGAGCACCGGGGAGGATGTGGCAGCTGGGCTGCTAGAAGAAGTCATAGCAACAACAGGCGTAGAGGACGATGCTGAAGCAACGGAGGGCGTCGGAATGGGAGTTGAAGTTAAAGTCTGTGCCGTCGAAGTTGGGCAGTTGACCACGGTAGGACCAGTGAAAGTGATGTCGTCGAAATTGACCTCCGAGTTGCTCGAGAAGCTGCCGGCCGTGCAGGTGAAATCCACCATCAATTTGTGGGTTGTACTGGTCGCCGTCCACTGGCCAGTGACGTGGGTCCAGGCACTGCTCGCCGATGTGAGCTGCCCGGTGGCCGCCACATTGCTGCTCTCCGCAGAGTCGATGTAGACGTTGAGCGAACAGGTTCCTGTGCCTATCGACAAGAGTTGCCAGTACAGGCTGAGCGTATAGGTACTCCCCACAGCCAGATCGGTCAGGGTCTGGGAGAGGCCGTTAGAAGCCAAATCGCCATTGATGGCTATGACATAGCTGCCATCGGGGGCTGACGAAGTCCGGTAGGTGTCGTAGACGCTTCCTGCCGCTCCAGTCGCGATAGTCCAGTCTATGGTACCGTCCTCGAAGGAGGGATTCTGGACAGCCTGCTGGACGCTGGTGGTGCAGGCTCCCGTGCCGACTGCGGAAGCGGTGGTTGCGAGCAGGGCCAGCAATGAGCTCCGGATGATCATTTTCATGTTGCAATGCGCCAGTATCACAGACTGAGTGAGCGAGGTGCAATGTATTGACGGATTTAGTCAGGAGAAAGAAGAGATCGACAAGAAAACGAGCGTGATACCGGTCGACGATGGATCAGGAGAGGTCAAACGAGCGACTGGATCCAGGCATTTCCTGCAACTATCCGAGCGATAGAAAAGACGCAGCCCATCAGAAGTGGAAACCAGACAAGACAACGGCCCCTTTTTGAAGGAATGAAGGAAATTCCATTGCCGTCGGTAGAAATTCCCCGAGTTGCAGTCGATACGAGCACCGGCAAAAACAAGCGATCGATCGGCTCGGGCGAGTCTTATTGGTTGAAAGGCAGACGGCCAGCGGAAGATCCACATTTCAGCTGGCTTTAAGAGTTGTTAAGCCTTTGCGAGAAGATCGATGGGGGCAAGGCCTGGGTAGAAAGGTGAAGGTGAAGAGGGAGCGACGAGCGAGAGAAGAAATAAACGAGTCATAAATCATCGCATACAACGTCGTCCCACTCGCCTCTAACCTCCCCTGTGCGGATTGAGGGGATGGCCATGGTACTTTGTTGCGAGTTTGTCGGTAAATATGGTATCATAAACCAACGACCTGAAGCTGTGTGAAGTAGAAGCGTTTCTGCTTAAGACGCCAGATCGTGGCGCTTTTCGGCGTAGTCACTGCCTCGTCGCTGAGCAGTGTCTGCACAACCGACTACGTGACTTCTGTCCTGCCAACTTCGAGTAATGACATCCCTTCTGGTATTACCATCGACACTAGTTCAGTGACTGCCAGTATCTATCGCAACTACTCTGTCTCCAATGCTACCTTCTGGGAGGACATGAGCATCAACTTCTGCGAGGATTCGGAACATGTGTTATACCAGACAAAAATCGTCCCTTGGCTCAGGCATGACTTCGTTAGCCCTTTGTGAGTTGATCCGAAGATATGTTTGTACTCACAAGGAGATAGGACCTGAGCGCGAGGCTTCAGCCAGGGATGATGCTCGATTCAGTTGAACTGAGATATGTGTACTAAGACCGAAGACAATAGACAAGACTGTATACTGACGTTTGCGTGACCTGGATACTAAGCACTAATGTACCGTACACAGAGCCATGTTAGCATCCACAACGAGAGCGACAGCCATTGCGGTAACTTCGGAGCTGGACTCACAAAAACAACACTCGGCTGTCGAAAAGAAAGGTCTCCCAACATAATGTACTGGATGATTTTTACATTCCAGACGAAGGTCTCCTCTCATTTCGTGCTGTGGTTGTTCCTCCACTCCGTCCTTTCGCCAATCGACTTTCACGCCAAGCTCTCAGTGTGCGCGAGTCGGATCATATTGGACCTGGAAGAAGAAAGACCCCGATCAGCGCATGAACACGAAGACATGAACCCAGTTCCTAGCTGGCGAAGACCAATTGGGAAGATTTGAGGACCCCATGACAATTTTGTTCAGTAATGACTGTGATCACGCAGTCATGGTGACAAGCCTCGACCAACAGACATGATAATGTCGTGTGAAGACAATCTGATCTATCCTTCGCGCGTGATGAATGATTGCTTGGAGTAAGCATAAGTGTGTCCGGAGGAGGTGCGTCTGTTCGCCTGTCACCTACAATACCAAGTTCGCTTGGGACCTTCAGGCACGCAAAGAAACGAGCTGCCTCTGCGATCAATTCCTTTGTTGTTCCTCCACTCGCGTCTGTCCGATAATTCCTCGACTCACTGGTACTCGTTCTTGGATTCGGTCTCTTGTCTCGCTTCGTCTAGACGTGGGAAAAGCTGAGGTTCACCTAGCAGAAAACATTCATTAGCATGGCTTTGATCAGGGCAGTGTCGCACTTGGAGAAAATACGCCTAGTCTGAAGCTGATGACAGTGTGCTGGGCTACACAGCCCTTCAGAGAAGCTTTGGCTCAAGAGGCTGGCGAGACAACACTGGTGAGATATTGCGGAGCCTTCTGGCGAGAGCCTTCACTGAAATTGAGCTACTGTCTTCTCGGTTCAACGCCACGAGAGGAGATCAAAAACCTTCTTGTTAGGTAGCAGCCTGTCTTGGAAGCAGAGGCAAAGTTAACTTACTTTTCCCTTTCGAGTCGAAGCTGACGATCGAGGAGTGAGGAAGGGGAGGGTGAGTCGTAGAGTGAAATGCTAGTAGGCGGGTGGAGCTCGCTTGTCAGTGACAAGAGAGATGAAGGCTGGCTCCCCTGGGGCATTCGCACTTTGCTTTTCCTTCTCTTCTCCTCCTCTCCCTCTTCCTCCTCTCCCTCTTCCTCCTCGACCTCCTCTTCATCCTCCTCTTCATCCTCCTCTTCATCCTCCTCTTCATCCTCCTCTTCATCCTCCTCTTCCTCACCACTACCACCACCACCACTACCGCCATGGCCCCCCGCGCCCCAGACGCCCCCCCTGGCCGCCGCAGCAGCGGCGGCAGCGGCACCAGCAGACGCAGCAGCAACAACAACAACAACAACAACAACCCCAGCAAAGAGGAGAAGAAGGTCCTCGTCAGTATACCTTACTCACAAGTAGCGTATCGCGTAGATGTCCACTCAACATATAAGCTAACAGGCTATAGAAACGCAAGCGTTTATGTTATTATTGCGGTTTGCCCGGCCATATCAAGCGGGACTGTCCTCCATATCATCGCTACTTGGCTCAATGCGAGCTTGTAAGTTTAGATTAGGATATAAGCTAGGTTGTCATGTTGATTTCTTTGCTTTCAGGGAAGGCAGATAGCGGAACGACAATACCAAGAGCGCCAGCAGCGGCGGCAGCAGCAGCAACAGCAGCAACAGCAACAGCAGCAGCAGCAGGAACAGGAGCAGGAGCAGCAGGAGAAGCAGCAGCAGCAGCAGCAGCAGTAGTAGTAGTAGCAGCAGTAGTAGTAGTAGCAGCAGCATACCGTTCTGTTTTTTAAATTATTATTGAATGAAAGATCTTCGTCCACTTTTCTACATTCCTTGTGTCCCATAGAACGCAATAGTCCTCGTAATTATAGCTCTGAGAAGTAGTTGTCTATACCTAAAATCCAACCATAAAACCTTCAAAGTACTCATTGACCCATCGAGCAGCTTGCATTCCATCAGGCTCACTCCAACAAGCCGCAGCTCCAACATATCCATCCGGTCTCACAATGACCACCGCCGTCTGCGCCGCATCCGCCTCCCCGAACCACCTCTTCGTACATCCGCCCTTCTCTCCGCCCGCTTCGTCAAGGTACACTGTCCAGCGGCTTCGCTTAAGCATGTCAGGTAGATCTTCAAGCTCAAAGCTTTCGCGTGGGGCCGTGGTGAGCAAGGCGAAGGTTGCGACCTGCGAAACCGTCGTATACCGTGCGTGGCCCAAGTACACATCATCTGTCGCCTGCTTCCGTTTGCTGCTTGCATAGCTCTGGGCTGCTTTCTGGGTTGCTTTGGCCAATGCACTTCCCTCGCCCAGCACCTCCTCACAGAACTTCTGCAGAAACTCGTTCTCACTCCGGATGTCTGGGACAACCAGGTACACCCGGAATTGACCAAGGAGAGGAATATCCAACTGCACTGGCACAGGGTTTGCATCGATGTACCTCGTCACGAGAGAAGGTGGGACGAGAGAACCGGGTTTCACCCTTCCTAAGCCGGAGCTAGTGTGTCCGGTTTGGAGTTGTGTGCCCTCCCATCTTCTCGTGAGCAAGTCTCCTGGAAGGTATTCTGCCCCGAAACCAGCGATAAACCGAATATTATCATCGAAGTTGCGGGCGAGAGCGGCCTCGCCCTGTTCAAAAGCAGCGACATGGCTGGCATCGAAAGCAATCAGGTCGTTGGCTATCTTTCGACGTTCGGTGGAGTAGCTGAATAGGAGGGGTTTTGTAGCGAGACCGCGGGAATGGAGATTGATCTTCCAGGCGAGATTGAGAGAGTCGTGCATGCTGGTGTTGGCGCCTTGCGCGGCAAGAGCGGAGTGGACATGACCAGCCTAGAGTTGTCTTAGTACATGTTGGCTGCATTAAGGAATGTGAGACATACATCACCGGCAATGAAGATGCGATTGTCTGGATCGGAGAAATTGCGCGCGACACGCTGGTTGACTATGTAATTGCCAAACCATTCTACACCGCGGTCAGTCTTCGTTACCTCCTAGCTAGAACAGAAATGCAACAACATACCGATACTCTTCCATTCTAGCGGAAAAGGCTTCATGGCTTCCTGCGCTCGAGCCATGACATACTCCGGTGTAGCCATGGACTTGGGCACCCGCTCACCATCGGTGGCACTCAACTCCACGTATAGTCGAGTCATGTTGCGTTCGCGAGGAATCCACAAGATCGAACCGGCTGTGTGGGACCGGACGGCGACTTTGCTCCAGAGATCAGGGAAGGTAGTCTCGATCTCACCTGTCAATCATAGCAGCGAAGTCAGCTTAAAAGCACCCAGATACTTTCAAAAACCAAACGAACGACTAAAGCACCAAGCTTGGGACAATCGAACGCCAGGTAGAGCTCGAAACATACCATCCAAAACTCCCCACGAAGCATTCGTCTTCTCGCCCTCCAACTGCGCATCGGGAATGAAGTCCCGCACCTTCGACCGGGCGCCATCACATCCAACCAGGTATTTTGCGTAGACGACGCGCTCATCCCCCGTGGTCAGGTCCTTGTACGTGACCTTGAGGTCGCCCGCCTCGTCTTTCTGCACGTCCACGAATTCACTGTTCCGCGAGACTGATCCTCCTCGACTTTCGATGTCCTTGATAAAGACGTCCTCCAGCATGCCCTGGTGGGCTAGCAGAATGTATGGATCGGGGGCTCCGACTAGGTGGTCGGGGTAGTGGATCTTGCGGCCGGTGCGACGGAGGGGTTGCGTGGGTGTAGAGTCCTGCGTGAGGGAGTGGTTAGTGAGTGTGTATGGACATGATCCATGAGAATAGGACAGGGGAAAAGAGGGCGAACGCAATGGGAGAAATACCCAGAATGAGATGTCGTAGACCTTGGCGCCATGTCGCAGTAACGGATCGGCAAGACGAAGCTGTTTCAGCGTTTCGATAGTTTTCGGCTGCAACCCGTCCGCTTTGCCAGTCGAGGTCTGATCGGGACGGTCATCGAGAAGAAGGACAGGAGTGCCGTAACGAAGGAGATTACACCTGTTTGTTTTTAGAATGCAGCTGGAGCGAAGATGGGAAGAGTGTATGAGGGGAAAGCGGGGGAGAAAAGAAAGAGGGGGAAATACGCCAGCATCAAGCCAGAGGGACCAGCCCCGACTATCACCACCGTGGTTGATTCTGGAGGAGTCATCTTTTGGCTATTCACTAATGCTATGGGATAGAAAATATTCAGAAGCTGAACACCGAGTATATTTAATCCGACTGAGTCGAGTTGGTGTGCGGAGTATTGTAGGAGATTCGGGAGGAAGACCGACCCCCACCCCCACCTTTGTTATTGCTTGCGACCGCGAGAAGCATAGTCCCGATCCACTATCTTAGCTCGTAGCTTGCTATCGAGTACAGTAGCTATCACAGTCAACCATGCTTCGAACACTACCATTTTGTCACACCACCATCGACCACGATATCACCCCCAGTCATATACGAGCTAGCATCACTAGCCAGGAACACACATGCGCCCATGATATCCTCCGGCTCGGCCAGGCGACCGTTCATCGCATCGCGTTTCCACTCTTCGACCAGGTGGGGGAACTGCCACGGTTAGCTTCGTCGCTATCTTATCGGAGATCCCACCTACAGCAGCCGTCATTTCCGTGCGAACATATCCCGGTGAGATCGAATTGACTCGGATGTTCTGTCTTCGTCAGCGCTCGCTCACTCTGGCAGACCTGCAAGAGACGCGCACATATTGGGCCAATTCCTTGGCAATGGCCGGACACATCGCCCTCACGGCCCCCTTGGAACCACAATACGCGCTGCACAGTTGCGACCGCACAGCGATGTGGCTGGCCATGCTGGCAACCAAGACAATACTGCCCTTTTGTGTTCCATTGGCGATCATCTGCCTTGCCGCGCGTTGGGCCGTCATGTGCACGCCCAACACGTTGACTCCGAGAAGAGCGGCGTGGTCCGCGTAGGTGAACTCTAGGAAGGGTTGGTGACGATTGATCCCCGCGCAAGGAACACAGATATCGAGAGCGTTATCGAAGTCTGTTTGGAAGGCTTTAAAGCCGGCATCGAGGGACTCTTCGGAGGAGACATCCACCCTAGGTAGTCAGCGATGGACACTTGTTGCAGTACAGGATAGAGTGTTTACTTGTAGTATGCAGTACGCACGCCGCACTCGGTCGCGATAGCTTCGAACTCTGCTTCGGGGGGAATCACGTCAAAGACAGCCACATTGGCACCGGCTTCGGCCAGACCGCGTGCGAATGCCAGGCCACACCCGCGTGCACCGCCAGTGACTAATGCAGTTCGACCTTGAAGGGAAAACTGACAACTTAGCTTGGGTTTTAGAGTCAAAGGGTCAACTTACTCGAGACATGATGATGATGATGATGATGATGGCGTAGGGATTGTATGATCCGACCGGTTGAGCTCTGGTTGACCTGTAGGTAGATTGTGATGAGAGTGGTTATAAATAGGCTCGATAAGATAACCCGTTGTCAATTCAACTTCACCCCCATTCTTGTCACCTCCACCTTCACCACATTTGGGCCTGGTATAATTGTCGCACTTCTAGCCCAAAGTGCACAAACAATCTTCTCAACTTGCACAAGCGACCAAAATCATCATGGCTCATCCCATTCATGTCAAAGAACCACAAACTCGACCGGAGACGTGTTCTCTTGAGGTAATACAGTCCTCCCCGCGATCCCACCCCATTCCCGAACATGACGGCTGATGCGACCGCGGTTCTAGATAATCGTCATCGGTGCCGGTCTTGCCGGACTAGGCACCGCCATTGCCTGCGCTCTTGCTGGACACAAGGTACACATCCTTGAAGCGACCTCGTCGATCCGAGAAGTTGGTGCTGGCATTCAAGTTCTGCCCAACAGCTCCCGAGTGCTCACACACTGGGGACTTCTTCCCCGTCTCACCCCGCACATGACCTCTCCCCGCGTCTGTAACTTCCTCCACTGGAAAGGCGAGACCATCAGCAGCCTAGACTTCCACGCTTCCGAATCGCAGTATCCCGGCACGTGGTATCGTGATTTTCACCGCGCAGATCTGCAGCGATGTTTGTTGGAGAGAGCGGAGGAACTCGGGGTGAAAGTCACTTGCGGAGCGAGGGTCGTGGATGTTGTGCCGGAGGTTGTTTCTAGCGGTACGCCAGATGGCTGGGCCAACACTGCCACTGTCATTGCAGCGGACGGACGAGAATGGATTGGGGATTTGGTAATCAGCGCCGATGGGGTATTTGGGACCCTGAGTGAGAGAATGCTGCAGCGCCATGACCCACCCGTCAAGACAGGGGATCTTGCGTATCGCTTGCTGCTGGATACGGAGAAGATGTTGCAGGATGAAGAGCTGAGGGACTTCGTTGTCAATCCCCAGGTGAACTATTGGTTGGGACCGGGGAAACATGCAGGTATGTGTTCCTAGTAAAGCGAAACTTTGGCCAAGACAAACTAACGAGCACAGTCAACTACGTCCTTCGCCAAGGCGAACTGTTCAACATGGTCCTCCTCGTACCGGATGATATTCCCGAGGAATCGCTGGCCACCACGGTCGAAGGAAACGTGGAGGAAATGTGTGGTTTGTTCGAAGGGTGGGATCCGAGGTGAGCTGTTTCGGTCCGCCAACAATGCGAACCAGCACTAAGAAACAGGATCCAAAAACTCCTCAAACTGTGCCAATCAGTCCAGAAGTGGCGTCTGTGTATTCGATTTGGCGACTGCGACTGGGCCCATCCTTCAGGTTCGTGGATTATGCTTGGGGATGC